TATAAGAGCACTGGCCTTGGTCACAAGTAGGGACTGTGAATTTCAGAATTGGAATACAAAAATTTGTTGGAGAGATTTACAAGATAAACAATTCAGAAATGCCAAGCGATTGTTTCAGGGAGTTAATGAAAGGGGATCTAATCTACCAAGGACTATGGTTATACCTTTTTTTTGTCTTTGACTGACTTGCAATCATATTGCTCAAGTGAGTACATCCCATATATCAATACTGAGTTTATCTAAGAAATGCCTGATATATCATAGTATATCACATTTCTCGCTATGGCCTTAATATAATATTAATAAAGAGGACCAACATACTATTAGGCTGGACAAGTGAACTATTTAGGACAGGACAATAACTTATTTTTAATCCTATTCACAAAAGGTCGTGAGAGATTTCAATATACTTGTCAAAGATATTTTATTATTCACTCTGTTCATCATAAAAAAAGCAGGAAATGTTTTTGACTTGACTCATTTTTCCTTGAAATGTGTAATTTTGAATGAGAAGTTGAAAGTTAATTTTTTTTTAAAACATGTGAAACTTTATAGCAATAGTGACCATACTTGTTTTAGAATTGCATATAGTCTGCCAGCTTACAAAAGTTCAACATAAATTTTTCAACAGCTTGCTTACATTCAACTTATTTAGTCAATTTTTCAAAATCTTGATGTCATATAACATCTTCAGTACCAAGAAATAGGAAGATTTTGGTAGTTTTACATTTAAAACATAGACACAAACAATATCAAGAAATGAGTAAATGAAACTCATCTTCCTCACTAGAATAGTGATACAACAATTACCGGTACCTATTTTGACTAACCAGGGAAATTTTGTCTTGTTCTTAAAGGAATTCATATGTATACCATATAATGCATATATTTGTGATTCAAATGTGAGGTTCTATAGCACAGTTGGTTAGTGCGTTAGTTCTTTACATTGTTCGAATCTTGATCAGTGTGTGAAAATCTGGTGACCTTGAATAAGTCATCTTCACTCATAATTCCAGTCAACCCAGCTGTAAATGTGCATGGATAATCCAAGAAAGATCAATGCCAAGAGGTTTGGCCAAGGATCAGCTCGTAGAAAGGATCCTTATCTGTGAACCTAAGTTGCTATCCTTGTAAAATATAGTTACTTCTATCTTTTCTTACTCAGTTAAATAACCCTGGTTAAAACTAAAAACAGTGCAATTATAATACAGCCTTTAAGTCAAACAACACTTAAAAAACCTTCTTCCAAACCATTATTCAGTTTATCACAAATCATTAATTTTTAACAACACAAGGTCACTAAAGCAATTCTGCTCAAAATCAGTTAACTGAATAACCATTTTAACACTAATTCTCTCTTTTGATTAATAATTATCCCATGTAAATCAAATTTCTGATTAGTTTTTTTTCCCTGATAAAATCTTGCAGTACAGAAAAAGAGCCTGAACCAGCTCATTAAGAGATGACAACCTACAATCAAAATATTTTCCCATGATGAAGTTAGTTGATAACCCTAACAAAAGATATGTTTTACTTTTTTTTATTTCTTATTAGGCTGATGGGAAAAAAAACTAAATGTGTAGTATAGTCTTTTACTAGTAGGAACTGGCACTGTTCATATCTTCATGTCTTTGAGGATAGCACAATCAGATCAAGTGTTCGAATGGCATTTTCAGCTTAGTTATGTTGAGAAAATGGTGGTTCTGGGTTTTAATCTCAGTCAACATGTTAAAATCCTGTAACATTTAATTCACTGAACCACTTTGAAAGCATGTCAACCATAAATAAAATTTAAAAAAATTCACTTATAAACTATCTGCCCACTAAATTCCTGTTGTAACATTAAAAACTAAAATCAGTCAACTGTAGAGAAAGACAATATTTAAGTTGTTAAATATAACTATAGAAAATAAAGTCAACTTTTTCCTTCACATACCTTTATATATATATATACAAAATTACTTGTTATTATAACTGTCATAAATAAAACAGTCACCCATGAAATTAAATATATCATATTGTAAATGGAAGATTTTAAAGAGACAAGATCTAGTTTGAGAATTATCAAATTTCTTAAGAATTGAAATACAACAATTGTAGTTCAACGTGTTGCTTATTTGATCTCCATTTGGCTGATTTGTGATGCAGTATAAGGTTTTATAAGAGATACTCTCTTCATGGAAGCACTGGTCTAGGTATCAGCATAGGAAAACATCAATTTGATACGAAATTACCTACTTCTGGAGAGATTTACAAGATAAACAAATAATTCAGAAATGCAAAGTGATTGTTTTAGGGAGTTAATGAAAGGGGATCTAATATACCATGGACAAGAACATCAGATTTTTATTTCTTTTGTAAGCAGACATCAATTTGTCCTTGAGTTTTTTATAAAAGTGTTTGACAATCACAGAGGCATTTTTAGCTGTAGAATTGTAGGTGGCAATGAAAGGTATAATTTTATTGTCATGCTGGATATTTATCAGTGTGCAATGAGGGATATTTGATCAGGACAGTAGCAGTAGCCTTTCAAACTAAAAAGGGGCTATTATCTTTTAAGTCAGTCCCTTGGACCTGCATCAATTAAACGTTGAAACTGGAGCTACTATAAATAGACCTGACATAGTGAGAGGCAGCTAATTAGAGGCGTGTCTGTCATTAATTACTATTATGTCTTAACGAACAAACAATTCAAAAATTTTCTTCTAATTATATACAGTATTCCATATATGCCATATTGTCAATTTATAAACACATGTTCTTAACTTATTAAGTATTGATATTACATATTAAATATATTGTATTCACTAGAATTATAAAGCATATAATTTAACATATGTTACTGGAATGTATATTAGTAATATCCTTTATAATATTCAGGAATGTTATGAATTATATTCAATATTCATATTCAATAAATAACATTACATTGCATACAGTTTGTAACTTTTATGCATTAACCCTTTCAAGACGAGCACACTCTACAGACCAAATAGATATATCTTAGTGGTCTGTGAAGTCAAAAATTTTACAGGAGGTTTTCAGAAAATGAGCAGCTCCCTTTTTTTGAAAATATTAATGTTTCACTTGTGCTACATAACTGTGTTTCCACTTGGGCAAATTGACGGTTCGGGAACCAAATCCTCTCTTTTTTTGTGTTCAGCAATTGATCGGGGCCAAATGAAAGCTAGCTTTCACTTAACAAGTTTGGCAATAAAGGGCGTACTGGTCTTTCTGGTCTATTGCATTTCTTACTAGTCTAAACAATAGTCTTGTACATCATGAGTTGTCAATAAGTGCGACTTTGTGATCTAGGCTAAAGTCGTTCTGGAACCAGTTTAACACAGTGTAAAAACAACATGTTCGGCAATAAAGCTGGCTCTAACCTAGCTTTACTTTACAATTCTCAGTGGAAACACGGTTCATGCAACCCATGAATCTAACAAGCCCAACAAATCTGGCCCTATCTCTTCCTCGCTGTGCTGATATCACATACGCATATCACATCTGAGGTAGGGCCATATTTGTCGAATTTGTACAAGTTTTTGGACTATCGACATTTAAACACCTTATTTGTCAATAGTAATACTTCCTTATATAACTGGGCGATATGTCTTATATTGATTAAGCCTAAAGGCTATTTATAGATAAAAAAAGGGGTAGAGTAGGTCTCTGAACAGGATCTTTAAAAAGGGTTCCCAGGTAATTCTGATGATGTAATATTCAAATCTAGGCCAAAATATACCCTTGAATGCTTGTGATTGAGAATTATTGGTATATTTTGAAATATTATGTAATATTAGAAATGGATATTATGGATATACTACTCCTACCTTTAACTTTTTCAATTCACATACCAGATGAAACAGTGCTAAAATGAATGGAAAGAGTAGTATATCCATAATAGTGTTTATTTTCCAATATTACTCTACTTCTAAATGTCATTTACAGAAAATTGATGTAATAGTCTTATTAATGTTATGTGTGATTTTCAAATTGAACTGGAATTTTTATCCAATGGCAGAAACTGAATGGAAATCTAACTTTAACCTCTTAGTTAAACATGCTAGTGCTGATATATTCTTTTGAAAAGCAAGACTGATATCAAAGGTAATGCTTTCTTGTCAAATTTAATAAAAAAAAATTGTTTGAGGGGTATCAGTGCAAAAATAAAGACACAAGAGGTTCTGCAGCTTGTAGGATATCCTCTCAAATCACCTCCCAAAGTAGCCATCAGAAAAATCTGTAAGAGCCTGAAAATAGATTCAAGGCCTCTAAGACTATTATTGCTAATTTTGTGGATTGTAAACTGTGTGGATTTTAATAAGACAATAAGCAGAGGCCTAGTGTGCTACAGGCTGTGCACGTTAGATTGAAGAAGAGCAAGCTAATGCTGCTGTCTTGGAAAAATTTCCCTCATTTCACCCTGCAAGGTGTTGCTGTCTTCTTCAGCCCACATGGCACAGAAAAGACGTAAAACTCTCATCAATTCATTCTCTTATACATATTCATTACATTGTTTATATAGAGACAGATTACATTAATTTTTTTGTGAATCATTGTATAGATGTTATATATGTTGTTTTGTATAATACATGATAAATATTGTTTAGATAACATTAGCATTTATAATAACTAATAGTAATTATATTGGTGATTGACCATTTGTTATAGCCATCTCTAGCCGATTACGATAGGTCTACTTATCTTAAGGGCATGATAACCTTTAAATGCTCATATAATAGGAAGGCTTGGCCCCTTACTGACACAATATTATGACAATTTTTAAATTGTAGGCTATAACTCTGAGCAAGTCAAGAATTAAAAATAACAAATTCGTTTCAGATCCAATGACTCATCATATAGTCTCTATCCTCCTGTCTTAAGAATCAATGATCATGATATACTTTTCATGCCGAGCATATTTTCGGTGACGAATATTCTCGACTATTTATTTTTTGTCTATGGCGTGGATGTCAAAGTAAATCATGTCTACTCACCTTAATTTGAGTAACAGTTAGTCTGAACTAAAAAATCTTCACAAATATTCAATACGAGTATCCTAATATAAGAACCTTATCTACTAAATATCTACACAGACCGTTGGGCAGTTAAGAATAGGATAATAATGACCGGTCGTGCACTTTCTCACAGCTACGTCACAGTGGAATGTAGGTTGGGACAGTCCCAGAGTAATGATAAATTCACAGGTTATAAATAAATGTGAAAATGTTTCAAGTCGGTACAAGTTATTTGTTGGATTAAAGGCATAATTCTCTTTCCCCTCCCTTCTTCACTTCAACGCGTGACCAAAAAAGACATATTATGAAAAAAGTAAGAAAGAAATATATTTGCTGTAGCCTATGAATGAATAAATGGGCTCTAAATTGGTAGACAGTAAATGGCAACATTTCTTCTGTTCTAAATGCACATTTATTTTGATTACTCGCCATCATCTTCAGCATGAGCAAGGTTTTTCGAACTTGCTATCAAAATCATGGTCTACAGATAACAGAAGATGTCATTTTACTTAAAACCACTGTGATGAAACTAACTGCCATTGTGTTAGGAATTTACATTGCCAATTTCTTGCAATATAATATTATTCTTTCTATATAATATTCACATCAGTTACCTCCCTTGAAATATAAAATTTGATCACTTTAATCTATGGTGTGTCCTAAGCACTATTTTTAATATTTACCTTTCATAAAGGTGAGTATATGCAGCAGCAATGGCGATTGTGGTGCCAGACAAGTTATGCCAACTTCTGGACACCTGATAGCTGTTGTCATTATGAAATACTTCCTCAGTAATGATTACTACTTTATCATATAAGTCCATTAGTTGCACCCAATGAATTGACGATATATTGTTCTTGTTATCCGGATTCCGGAATAAAATACAGAATTTTGTTTGCAATCTTTACGTAGGCTACACCTCTTGTTTGTCCCATCATATGAAGCTTTTAAGACCACATTAACAAACTTAAAACTTGAACCCTTGGAACATTTGAGGAGCTCTAAATTAACTCATTACGCTTCAGCTTTTATAACTCGTGGATTTCAGAACAAATATGATTTGTTACTTAAATTACACTTAGTGCACTTCGTACCAAGCATGATACAGACAAAAATAAATTGTCATTGTGCCAAGCATGATACAGACAAATGTAAATTGCCATTGTGACAAGCATAATACAGACAAATGTAAATTGCCATTGTATCAAGCATGATACAGACAAAAGTAAATTGTCATTGTGCCAAGCATAATACAGACAAATGTAAATTGCCATTGTATCAAGCATGATACAGACAAAAGTAAATTGTCATTGTGCCAAGCATGATACAGACAAATGTAAATTGCCATTGTGCCAAGCATGATACCGGCAAATATAAATTGTCATTGTTCCAAGCATGATAGAGACAAATGTAAATTGTCATTGTGCCAAGTATAATACAGACAAATGTAAATTGCCATTGTATCAAGCATGATACAGACAAAAGTAAATTGTCATTGTGCCAAGCATGATAGAGACAAATGTGAATTGTCATTGTGATAAGCATAATACAGACAAAAGGAAATTGCCGTTGTGCCAAGCATGATACAGACAAATGTAAATTGCCATTGTGCCAAGCATGATACAGACAAATGTAAATTGCCATTGTGCCAAGCATGATACAGACAAATGTTAATTGGCATTGTGCCAAGCATAATACAGACAAATATTAATTGGCATTGTGCCAAGCATAATACAGACAAATGTAAATTATCATTGTGCCAAGCATAATACAGACAAATGTAAATTACCATTGTGCCAAGCATGATACCGACAAAAATAAATTGTCATTGTGCCAAGCATGATAGAGACAAATGTGAATTGTCATTGTGATAAGCATAATACAGACAAAAGGAAATTGCCGTTGTGCCAAGCATGATACAGACAAATGTAAATTGCCATTGTGCCAAGCATGATACAGACAAATGTAAATTGCCATTGTGCCAAGCATGATACAGACAAATGTTAATTGGCATTGTGCCAAGCATAATACAGACAAATGTTTATTGGCATTGTGCTAAGCATGATACAGACAAATGTAAATTATCATTGTGCCAAGCATAATACAGACAAATGTAAATTATCATTGTGCCAAGCATAATACAGACAAATGTAAATTATCATTGTGCCAAGCATAATACAGACAAATGTAAATTACCATTGTGCCAAGCATAATACAGACAAAAGTAAATTGCCATTGTGCCAAGCATGATACAGGCAAATGTAAATTATCATTGTGCCAAGCATGATACAGACAAATGTAAATTATCATTGTGCCAAGCATAATACAGACAAAAGTAAATTGCCATTGTGCCAAGTATGATGCAGACAAAAGTAAATTATCATTGTGCCAAGCATGATACAGACAAATGTAAATTATCATTGTGCCAAGCACAATACAGACAAATGTAAATTATCATTGTGCCAAGAATAATACAGACAAAAGTAAATTATTAATTGTGACAAGCATGATACAGACAAATGTAAATTATCATTGTGCCAAGCATAATACAGACAAAAGTAAATTGCCATTGTGCCAAGTATGATACAGACAAAAGTAAATTATCATTGTGCCAAGCATGATACAGACAAATGTAAATTGCCATTGTGCCAAGCATAATACAGACAAAAGTAAATAGCCATTGTGCCAAGTATGATACAGATAAAAGTTAATTATCATTGTGCCAAGCATGATACCGACAAACGTAAATTGCCATTGTGGCAATCATGATACAGACAAAAGAAAATTGTCATTGAGCCAAGCATGTTTCTGACAAAAGTAAATAAATTGCCAGTGTGCCAAGCATTATTTTGACTAAGGTTAAATGTAATCTGACAGTTTGTAGAGCATGATACTAACAAAAGTCACCTGTCATTGTATCAAGCATGATTCTGACAAAAGTTTATTGCCATTGTGCCAAGCACGATTTTGACAGAGGTAATCTGACATTGTGCCAAGCATGATGCTAACAAAAGTAAACCACCATTGTGCTAAGCATGATTCCGCCAAACGTATGCTGCCATTATGCCAAGCATGAATCTAACGAAAGTAAAATGTCAATATACCAAGCATAATTCTGAAAAAGGTGATCTACCATAGTGCTAAGCATGATTCTGTCAAACGTAAACTACCACTGTGTCAAGCATGATTCTGACAAAAGTAAGAAGAAGTAAATAGTGATTGTGGTAGGAAGCTTTGTCAAAGGAAAATGACATTTTTCTAAAGCACGATCTGCTTGCTAACTGGATCCATTAGTATGTAATGGACACAGGGCCTACATCTTTCAGCGGGAAAAACTCGACTAAAAAGCGCGGAAAATTGATGTCTTCCTACGTCAAAAAGTCTGTCTAATTTACGCTCTGGATTCAGCTCTATGGAAACTGCCAAGAATTGTTGAATGACCCGAGCAAAATGTATCTTTAAGTTAAGACTCCCAGCGCCCTGAATGCTGGTAAAGATTACAAAAAATGAGCAGATATTTCACGTTAGCCTTCACGATACGACTGTCGTTATCATCTATGCATAAATTACCAATATTATAACTTTATCTGTGACAAGAACATCGGCATGGAGAATGTGCACGTTGGTACATTTTCGTCAATATTAATGTCATCAGATTTTAATTTTTTAAAAAAGTGATAAGGGAAAAAACATTTTAGCAAAAATGCAGATGTAGAATTTCCTTGCTCTTTTACCATTGTGTCAAGCCTGATTCTAATAAAACTCATTTGCGTCAAGCATGATTCTAACAAAGTCATTGTGTCAAGCATGATTCTAACAAAAGTCACCTGTCATTGTGTCAAGCATGATTCTAAGAAAAGTCACCTGTCATTGTGTCAAGCATGATTCTACCAGAAGTCACCTTGTTTAGCATGATAATATAAGTAATTGCAACATACATAAGATTCAATGATCTTTGTTAGAAAAAAAAAATTACCACTTTCCAAACTCACGTTAAATCATAGCCATGAAAGTGAGCACTTACTTTCCCCGATAAACTCTGAGCTGGATGGGAAGGTGGCGGTTTCAAAAAGTTATCTTAAAATTCAGGACGAAGTAGGGTTCCATTCATTATGACTTTCATAAGAATAACATTCCTTTATGGACTTAAGATTTCATCCGATCTGCAAGCAACAAAAGTTACCTTGTATACTGTATAGTCTAAGACCCACGATTGAAAAGTGACTTCAGTTAACACATGCAGAGAACTTAGTATCTTAACAACTGATTTCAACTCACACTAAATCATTTATATAATTTTAGTTTGAGGGTGAAGTTTTTTGAATACTTCACTGAGTACAAAAAGGCTATGGACTGTATTCTGGTAATATAAATAATAAACCATATTAAAAACGATAGAGTAAAAATCTTATAGCCGACGTATGCTACTACCTGTAAAATCTGTTTTGCAATATACGCGTGTGTTTGGATGCCCAAACCAACACTAAACGGACATGTTCGCCATTTTCGGGTTTGATTTGTGTCTTGAATATATGTAAATAGTCTTCGAAAGTACTAGAATAATAATTCCTTGAAAAATACCTAAAACTATGAAATTTACTTTCCTTTTCTATATATGACAAGTCTCAAGGAAATACTTCCAAACGCGGATTTTGGACACATGGATTTCGATGGTGAGCTGTGAACACTAGTACTAATTAGCACAGGTAAAAAATCCCGATCCCGAGACTAAGATAAGATTTATGTCTCGTGTTTGCATGATGTTATATTTGTAAAATTGTTTTCTGTTATGTATATCCTCACTTCCATGAATCGAAAAGGCCTGCATCAGTATTCAAACCAAGACGGTGATCAAAGGGAGATCATTTTCATTGGTTGCAGTCTGTAGTAATTGATAAACAATGAATTGACTCTCTTTATCAATACCGATTTTTGCATAATGAAATGAAAAAGATATAGCATTGCATTAAATATTTAGTGCATATCTTTACATGTATGTTTTTCAGAATGGAAAACGTCATCCCTCATTTTTTTTTTAGCAACTCTCGATATTTTTATCTCCCTTTAATCAATCCTGAAATAAACAAATCTTCAATTTTATGATCAATATCTTGTTCAAGTATATTTTTTATTTTATTGAAAATATCTACTGATCCCATTTT